AGTTCTCCTCCCCAAATTCCCATGGAAGCGGTTGCGGTTCCGTGGGGACTACCGTACCCTTCCACTGAGAATTCAAACCTATGCGACGCGATTTTCGGGGAGAGGGACCCACACCCGGGGAGAAGTTTGTGTAGCAGTTTTGAAACTTCATGGCGCATCACGAGGGTCTCGAGGGACTGGCTCTTCAATAAATACCCTTGGTCGTACAGTCATACTATACTTTACCATTCCATCACGAGCAAGCTGCTCTTTAGGGTTTTATAGGCTCAGCCTGGAAATAAGGTCTGCCTAAAAGGAAAATTTTCAGGAAATCATGTACGAACTGACATTGGCAACCAAAAAGGCTTGGAAGGAAAAGAACGATCCAGAGCGTCTGTCTATATACGTCTCATTTGCCAAATTATGCAAAAGCTATCTGGACGTTGCCGACAAGGAATCGTTTCAGGTTTGTTGAGACTGTAAATCATGGCAGGGACGTGTTACTCAGTCAGTGTGGGACTTATGTAGGCTGGACTACTTCAGTCTTCTTAATAAGCACCCAGGAAAGGGAAACCCCCTAATTCTCACTTTTAGTCCCAAGGATCATATGACAGCGGAGGCTTATCCTTCCAGATTTGTGAAAACACAGCAAAGGAGGCCAAGCTCGCCGGGAAAGGGACATTGGAAGATGATCAATGGAGAGAAGCGAACCAGTCCATTGAACAAATCAGGAAAACCATATCGGATGCGCTACATGAACGCGAACTTTTAGATGATTCAGAGTGAAGTTCATACTTGTAATTATTTCTTGTGTACCCTTATGTTGTCCTCTGTTGGTGTCATGTTTTCAATGGAGTCGCTTGTATGGGCTGCATTTGAATTGTACAGATAACGGAACAAGTTCCTAATTTGCTCACAGTTTACATGAAAATTGATAAAAAGAAATCGTTTTATCACAGAGTTCACAGCACGTCGACAGACATAGTTAAATCTTCTGAGAAATAAAAATTTAGGGCATCTGCTGGATACTGTGATAGGTGAAAAGCGGTTGAAACGGCGAAGATCGGTTTTTATTAATGTTGATGAAGTTTTAGAACGACATCTGAATTGTATGAGCTAAGATCAAGAGCTCAGATTGCGCTGATCCTCAAAATGAGCGCAGAGCGGCTGGTACATGGTTCGCGAATTTTTCGCGCGTGCGTGGGGCACGGCATGCTCAGGCGGCGAAATGGTCTCTAACGGCAGTTACTGCTTTGATATATTGCTCTCTCAAGGCGGAAGCCCACGCCAAGGTTGAATTGTATCCTCTCAGTCATTACTAGTTTGTGGAACAACTATGGAAATTATAAATATTTATTTTGTAAAAAATACCGGCGAATTTAACCGTCATGGTTTGTCCTCCTGAGAGGAATCTGGAAAAATTATTTCCTAAATCCGTGTTTGTTTAGTCTCCTCTGGACGTTCCTTCAGTGCTTGTGCTGCTTCGAAATCTCGTCGTTTATATGTTGGCCAAAAGAAAATGACGAATACAATTATAAGAAGGCTCACGAACCCTGCCCATATCAAAAATGGGGCTAAAAAGTAAAAATGAACGAAAGCACTTGTCAATGTATGGACCAAAGCAAAATTTTAAACTTACTACTCCATGTTGATACAGTTTTGAGGTCAGAATTTTTGTTAACACACGTCTGCACTGCGAGGTTATGAGGGTCGGGTTTTCCAACGAAAACATTCGTCAATATCACATAGATAACGCCTTGGATTTGCCTGGAAGAAGTTTCTGGAATGTAAGAACGATAAAGATTGTTATTTGATCCGAACTGATCTCCTCCGCACTCCCCATCGAATTTTATCATAAGACCATCGGATGAGGTTGTCCCCAGCTACCGAATTGGGTTCACAGTTCAATCCCGACCAAGAGATATAGACACATCGGGAATTAATCCAACCTCCGTGCATACGGAAAGGTTCCAGTGTCATACAAGCCGAACCTTTCACTCCCAAGATAATGCCTTTGTGATAGCATTCCCGTTGAAGTGATCTCTTTTTCTCGGGATTAAACACTTGGACTTATTTTAAGGAATCACTCAGGAAGAAACACTACCTTTCTCACATATTAGTAAAGTGTTTTATTAGACCGAAACTAAAGAAAGGCGTGGGAGATATCTTGGTCACTTTTGTGTTATGAAGGTGAGTGGCACAAGCTGTGAATTTGGACCGATTTCGTCAGTCTCCCCCTACTCTATATTACACAAGTTCTGCTGAGCTGTCAAGGCTCGCAAACTTTGGGAAAGCAGGGATGTTCATCATATAGTCGAAACAAGTCATAAAAAAGAGTAGGAGGTGATAAGAAGTGTATAACAACTCTCTTTGAGACACCAAGGGTAGTGAGCGGGATATTTTGCATTGATGTATTAACCAATGGTACCATGGATACCTAGTGCATGGTAATGTGAGATAATGCATTATAATGTCATAGGCACGAAAAGAATTGATATCAAGGGACTGTACTTGACAATTTTGTACAATAGTTGATGCTAATTTGTAATAATTGCATGAACCGCTAGAATAGTAGTCCTTCCGGGATCGTTTTGAGTTTAGAAGTTTAAAACAGTTTCACTTTTCTGGACAGTCAATGAAAAATTTCCCATTGACTGGGTGGCTCAATGCAGTTGAAGAAAGACATTCAGTGGTCATCTTCCCTATTCAGTTACAGTCTTTACTTTAGTAAATTTTCAATCTCACCCAATCATAATTACCAGTCCAGTGGATGTGGCTTCAGCGACAGGAAATGTTGCTTCAACACCCATCTCTAGCCCAAGTGGATAGATAGCAAATCCAAATGCGCCAAAGAAAAATATAGATGCTATCACCCATCCTTCTTCACCTTCATAATTGATCGATACAGCTAATGAACATGCTGCTATACCGGCCAGTAAAAATGAAAATTTCATAGTCTGAAAGATAACTTTTTTCCTTTGAGGCATAACTATATGAAGGCATAATGTTTGACTTACTTGCTCAAATTTTCCCGTTTTATCGACATATAAACCTGATATTGCTGCACCAACAAGGCCGCTCATGATCAGTAGGGTTCCCATACCTCCACTGAACGATAGAGAATATCCCAAAACACATAATGAAGGTTGTAGATTATTATAGAGTGCATTAAACAACCCTACTCCACCTCCTGAAATAGGTCTTGGATAAAACATAAACATCCGCTAAATGCGTGATCGACGAAAAGGGATTTCAGACTGCACCGGAGTGTGTCATTAGGTCAGCCGGCGAACTTCCTCTGGTTACTGTCTGTAATGGAGGAAAATGGGCGCTCAGACCTAACGACCCAGACCACATGTACTACATATTGAGACGTCACTGCGTGTCTTTTAAAATTTTTACCAGCTTTCATAGCCCATACTCTTTACCAGACAGGTACTGTCAGATGGGTATGTTCATTCCATTGATTCTTCGTCCTAACAGAAGGGTTCCAGACACCAGGGTAGGACAGTTATGCGGAAGGAAGGTTGGGTCTTATACGTCAGTAATACACACAGGAGTCGGTGAGTGCAAAATAGATGACCCCCACGAAGACAGGCAAAAAAAGGATTCGTGGTGGAAGAGCGTTCTCCCGTCTGATGTCCATCCGTTTTAGACCAATGTGGGAAGATACTTGTGCCCAAACTTTCAACGCATTTTCGATTGGCTGTAATAGAAACCTAAGCTCAATTAGGAACTCTCAGTGGAGGAAATCCTTTCCTCCATAACAGTGCTCTAACCGGAATTCCAAGCTAAATGAAGGTCATCGATAGCAGTGGTGACTATAACACTGATCAAAGCCGTGTAATGGTTGACAAAAACAGGTTTCAAAGATTTCGCATTTGAAGAGCAGGGCGTTCGGCCCAACTCAATAGACCAAGAGACCCCTAGTAACAATTGAAGAATAATACGTGATTTACCTAAACAGATTGCAAGCACCCAATAAGCTTTGGAATGGAAGCACTGTCGTACTCCTTCCAAGAATCCAGGAATTTCGATGTCTGCATTACGAGATGCTGCTACTGGAGTCGGTGGCTTGGATCTTGTAATAAAAAGGGCAAAAAGTGCAGTGACAGCAGCCAGTGCAGCACAGATTCCTGTCTGAAACAGATTTCCTTCTGTCCATATATGGAATTATCAGATGTGTTAGCATTTTGATCTCTTTCAAAAGAAGAAGGCTACAAAAATAAGCTTGAACAAGGCATATAGCAAAAGTAATAGTAATGGTTAGAGTATGAAATCTCGAGCCGTTGATATTGATCCCGTTTTTGTGATGGGCCCTGCATTCGACTACCATTCAGATTCGTGGTGGCGTTTGAATGTGTACATGAATTATACAATGATGCCCTGGTCAGTGTTTTCGTCATCCCAGAGAAATCCAGTACCCAATAACCGTCCCCGAAGAGATAGGAGGCTTGGTAGGGCCTAAGCAAATATTGAGCCGGGATACGATCCCTGGACCTGCGTGCTTGATAAAATACTAGTCATATCTAATAGTCGGTATTAAACGGGTACTATGGCAAATAAAGAGAACACTAAGCCACAAACACTTGCNCAAACAAGTTTCAGACGTCCCCATTGCCGCCTAAAAGACCCTATCAAGACCGCAGTTGAAAGAAATATGTCTCATACATTGTACATAAATAGCCTGGACCAGACCACAGATTACTGCAATAAAGTAGCAAATTGGTAATAAACTGATTGCGAGATGTCTTGATAACCCGTTTAAAGTACACTACAGGGAATGTCATTTCGTCAATATCATGAGCACTGATGAAATGTGTGACCAAAATGGTCTACTACGGAAAATAATTATACTATATAGTATCAACCTATGTATCAACCTGAAACAATATATAAAACTCTTAAGAACTCTGCCCAGAGATTATTTTACGTTCATACATAGTTTCCTAGGCAGCTTACTGGAAGGTGTTCAGGTGGTAGTTATCAAGAGCAGATGCGTGGTGTTATCGCATCGAAAACGCTTCGCATTCCTACTTCTAAGGACGTAGTATGCCGTAAAAAGTAGGAATGCACCCTTCCACGTGAATTCCCACACCCACCTCGACCTAGTGCCTACGAAAGACAGCGTAGAAAGGGACCTTTGTTGAACAAGAGCAGGACTTGTTTGGCTCCAAATGTGCTTTTGTTAGAAGTAACTAACCAACTTGTTTGTCGTACGCACCTGTAGTAGTAACAACTACCGCTTTCTTCTCCACCGTACTTATGCCATGAGGTAATGATCCTGATTATTATCCTCATTCAGGTTTATGTTGAGTTGTGAGGAGCCGTACATCCGCAACGCTGCTCCATGTTAGCTGCTCCATGAGTTTTCTGTACTTTTGTATTCAAAAGCAGAATTTCGAGTTGAATCACCCTTTGGAAGGCAAATTCTTCTGCAAACATAGTTTCAAACTGACCCAATAGCCCTCTTTCGGCTCATTTTTCCCAGTGAATAGGCAAAATGATGGGACAGAAGGTAACTTGCAGTTCTTTCTAACAGTTGATATCCCTGTTGTAATGGAGAATTACAGCATTCCTATTTTTCAATATGCTATTTAAGGATTGCTCACAATTTCGAACAGTAGAGTCATTCAAAACTCAAAAGACTTGGAAGTAGCTCAATTACATTTGTTTGCGTGATGCAAAGGGTGCCAACTTGGGAGCAGAACACACAGAGCCCAAAGTGGCACCAATGCTTCCAAGTCATCAGATACTCCGAATTTCCCTCATAATTTAACATTCGGTTAATGTAAGACTTTAACGAAGGTGGCGGTACTTCTACCCGTATTCCCACGCCAACCGGTAGTGGATTTGCGGGAAATAAAAAGATCTCCAAACGGAAAAATCCCAAATCTTTTCTTTCACAGCGCGCGATTGCATGCGGCGAGCGCAGCAGGCCGTTCGGGAAGAGGAACCAATACCCCTCGAATGGCATGCCGCTGGAAGAGACAACTATCTATGGCGATTGATTAGCGCGGCAAGACTACTGGCCAAATGCGCTTCGCGCCGAGTATAATCTCGAATAACGCTTGGGCGGTTTGTGATGTCAGCTTAACTCCTTTTGAATTTATTACTAACTATTCTATAATAGGGACCAAAGGTCGCAATAATTCGTTGTCTAATTGAAGCGCATTGAAAAATTTTGTATTTCGTTGATTAAATTATCGCAATTGATATCAAGAAAAGAATGAATATTTCGAAAAGTATAAAGGACTTCGTGTAACAAATCAATATTTTTCATATGACTCACGAGTAAGAAAAAAGCATGCGGATGTGACTCATTAACAATGAGCGGAGCAAACGAATACATCACTGCGATACCAATCGGATTCGACATTGACGACAATGTGTTCGCAATCACTCGTTGGTCTTGTGGAAACCAATAGGCTGCAAGTTTTGTTGGCAGAAACATAACAAATGGCTGAGCAATTGCAGCCACAGTTTGTCCAATGAATGCCACAGGGAATCGGGCATTCTTGGGGAACCATTCGCCTGATCCCACGACCCTAATCACATTGCCAAGCAGATTCGTCCAAGCTCCAATGTGAAACTGAAACAGACATTGATTAAGTCGAACTGGAAAGTGATTCTCTATCAGGAAAAAAAAGCCATTTTGAATTTTCCCTCAACAAAGAGCAATCTCCTAGACCGCTTTGAAACCACAATTCATCGCTGACGTGTACGTCATGAACCCCGATCGGATGACTTCCTGTCGTCAAAACTATCATCTTCATCAACAAACAAAGTATGTAAATAATCTGAGCGCGGACAAAAAGTAGCTAGAGGATTGTGGTATGCCCCATGCAACGAGGACGATTTTCCCTCGTGTGATCCTAATTTGCCCTTTTGAAGGGCATTGTAAGTGCAGAGCCCAATGTTGCACAGTGCAGAGTTAATGTTTCGGACAAGTGCAAAGCGGAGTTCAGGGTGGAAAATGGGAAATGTGGGAGAAAACAAAGTANATTTGATGAAACGTGTTCTTTTTAAAAACCATTAACGATTTCATCCTGAATCTTGACCCATCTGAAAGGATCGAAATGTTCAGGAGTGGCAGCACAAGATTCCCGTTTGAACTGCATGGGGCTCTCCAGGTCTACCCTCTGAAGCTCATTCATTACCTTTTATAAAGTTTCTGATGAGTGCAAAACGGAGTTCAGGGTGGACGAGGGCGAAATGCCTAATATAACTGATGAAAAATTAGTTCAGGATTGGTATCCATCAATGAACTTCGCCCTGAGACTAACGAACGTTGTCCTGAGTGGTAAAATTGAGCATGACTGAAGAGGGATGAGGCCAAAGGGTCCAAGAGCAGCGGCAGCGAATCCCCATTGGTGGTCCTCTTACGCCTGCTCATTGGAACTCGGTACCTTTGATGAAATGGTAGCTCTGCCGGAGCCAGCCCTAATAATTACTGTTGTCATTTTTTTTTGTAAAACAGTGATATTCTACTGAAAATTAATACCATCCCAACTCTATTCGAAGTTAACTATTTGTTCTACAGTTTCTTTCTCGATTTACCATGAAGATCTTTTTAGTTGTTTTCATGAACGGGTAGATTCATATCAATCTCTTTGGTTTTTAGGTAGCCCAAAGAATGAATCACATGCTATAAGCAAAAGTTATGCTTACTTTAAACACATCTGTTTTATCCCGACAACATCTGCTTTGTGATTATCTGGTCTTTGAACAGATCTAGACGGCTCGTTGTTCATATGGTTTTGCAGAACTGCGTTCTCGCTGAGGCCAAATTCCTCCTAACCGGAGATTTTTTTAACCTACATCAACTTCCTCTTCATTTTGGGCTGGTCTAGTTCCACGTATACGTTGAATATTTCATCTTGCCGGCCTCCAGTTCAAGGATCCTTTACTACACGGAATAACTCCGTTCCTGTTCCTTGGATAAAGGCTTAACCTTCATCCACAAATTTTGGGCCCTCTATAAGAGTGGGATCGTATGAAGCAGAGGCTTACCAGTTCTCGCCGAACCCCTGCTTGTGTGGTCCCTGCCCTGTCTGCCCTACCAAACTGTGCTTGCCCTTTTTTAATTTTTGATATTACGATCTATACACAGACAAAGGCCAAGCCATTTACAAGCACAGGAGGATGGACTCGCCATTCTACTCTGAAGGCATCTACAATTGCTTTCCTATACAATCCGAGTCGATGACGGAACTTGTCACCTTCCTTCCCCACATCTGAGTTACACCTCTGCTGAAGTCGGCCCCTAAATGGCCCACCCAATCCTAGTCACGATCCCAGTTTAGTGGTGGCTTCTTTCTCTCTTCCGACCTGGCCTGTCCACGAGTATTTCGTTATTCCAAACTTTGCTCCAAACTGCTAGTGATTTTTCGGGCACAACTGAATTTCGTGACACTCAACCACTAAATGGTTGAACAGACAGTCGATGACATTTATGTAAACATAAGACTGTTATTGTAACATAGCTCCAAGAGCAGCACTCTTGAATCTAAATTCATACAAACCATTTACATCTCCATTTCTGGTCCAAGCTTCCTTCCAAACTCTGAGCTCCTATTCCAGCCTAATGATTGCGCTTCCCGGGAGGTGAAGTGTTTTGAACGGCATAGGGGGTCCACTAAGTCCCTTGAAGATCAGGGTGGTCCCTGATGAGGATTTCCATGAGGTTCAGAGGATTCGATAATTTCCGACAGTTTGTGAGGAATTTTGTGTACCAGCTCTCAGCTGTACGCTCAATTGTGTAAAGCAGCTGGTTATGGGGGTCCAATTAGGGTAAAATTTTGAGGAATTAAATGAAATATACTACTTCCCACTAGAGCCCTATACAGTACTGGGTCGTACGATTACTCGAAAGATTTCGGAAACGAATTTCATAACTCCTTGGTTGAGGAAGCCCGTATCAGAAGAAATGGTGGCAAATGGGACATTCGCACGACAGGAACCTCGCATCGCATTAGACTCCAGCTCACCCCTCACTCTGTAGAACCATTTAAATGCAAATATATTGATTTTAAACGGTTTAGGCAGGAAGTGGAAATATTGGAGGGCAGAAGAGGACAAAAATATACCCATATGAACCCATCTTTGCGATTTCCTGGATGTTCCTATCCCAATGTCAGCCACAAAGAACTGAACACGAAGGAAGCAGCATGGAGCGTCCCCCGCACTGCAAAGGGCAACGTTTGCAATTTCCCAGTACACGAAAGTGCAGAAAGAGGAGGGAAATCGGGATTTCCGATCTCCGCCAAAGACCAAAAACCAATGTTGTTGTTCTTCATACAAAGGACCAGAAACTAAGGCAGTAACATGATGGTTATAATGGTTGGAACCGAGGACGTCAATAGGACTTGGAGCTACTGCTGGTCCAAAGATCAGATTTCTTTCTGAAGGCTCAGCACTGAGCAAATGATCTGTTTCGAGTCCCCTGAATGCGAAGGATCCACTGGGCGACCAAAGAGAACGAACGGAGACATTTCTAGCCCCTCGCTCGAGGAAATCGATTGTCAACGGGACGACATGTGATACAAGTAATATTAGCTGTCTTGTCGACGTTTCCATGATGCCTGCTATCATGTGAGGAAGTAAATCCCCACACGGATAACCCCATCGACCAGTTTAGAAATTGGAGAGCAACATATCGGGGTGGAGTATGTGATTTTCCCTTAAGTCCAGGGCCTTCAAGTATTTTACGTTTCAGGCTTATGCCCTCCCTTTCTAACTCTTCAGAACAAGTTATTGCAGGAATGTCGTTGGTATTTTGGTTTCAGGAAGATCCTATTTGGCTTTGAAAAAACCCCACTGTTCTGTTTCCTGCAATGAAACTAAGAAATTTTAGGGCCACAGTAAAGACAGTTTTCGCGAGTTTCGGTCATAAAAATTCAGTCAAAAGCTATTATCTGGGTCCATAGATCAATTTTTACACTGCTTTATCTCTGGTATTAATTCAACTGACTTATTCCTGGTATTGCCTTTAAAATACTACAAGAAGGCGATCCGAAGACGTAACTGTGATACTTTGATATCTTAAATGTTACCACTTCATAATTCCACCAGTTTGAGTGATTAACGTATGTGGAATGGTATATGTGTGGGTCAAGTACTTAGGAATACGAGTCATGAATACATTAGCATCCCATATGGTTAAAATACTTAGGAATAGGACCCGTGCGTACATTTGCATATCATTAAAGGGGGATTAATAAAAACGCTTGAACCTGATCAACCGCTCCTGGTATCTCCCACGGGGATTTTCCTCAGAATCGTTCAGAATGTTGAAACCGACGGCCCTGTGCTGGGCAATATTTCCGTACCCCTTGACAACCGCGCCAGCTAATAGTACCCGAGCAAAAGGTCCCAAGCTGCTGGAAACGATCCAATCCCACATATCATGCAACTAGTAATAGCACCTTTTACAACAGCCGATTTCCCTCCATATGTTCCCTTATTAAAACATTTTACAGTAAATTAAAGGGATGTCGTTTTTGAGGAAATCTTTGCGTGATCATCAAATATGCTATGAATTCATTATGTTACTACGTTTTTTCCGTATTAAAATAGAATATTCACCGCTGATCGTAAACCAAATCGATCACTCCACCAGCATGCCAGAAAACCCACAGGTATCGATAATGCCATGAATATCAGGTTGAACAATAATGCAGCATTTGCATTACCATAAAAATCATTAGCGTAAAATGTGATAGGTGCATATGTAATCCATGTCTATAAATGGTAATACTCATGTAAAACCATCTGATACCCTTGTACATTACCATATACTTAATTATAGATATGGATATCACGTGTTTACTACAATCAATAATGCAATTACTATACTCACGTTTCCATTTGAAAAATTGACGAGGCACGCAACAAATAAATATACCCATCGTATTTTATATGTACGAAATTCAGATGACATAATTTTGTAGTTTAAACCGGTAAATTCAGGTCCAGTAGTGCTAATAGGGCATAGCCAGTAGGGAGCAGTGCTTATCGTCGCCGGTGTACAGCACACTCAAAGCCCCGCCCATCGGCCCCGTTCTCAGCTCTATCAACTTCACGTGTGCAGCTGAGCCAAATTAACTAACTGCTTCCCCTCGTTTCAAGCGGAACAATCTCACGAGGATGTTTGATGCCCTCCCAACGAGTAAAGATCTGTAAAGTAGTAAAGGAGTTACACGCGCGATGTCTGAAAAAGCAACTTCCCGCCGACGATTTTTAATCGACCGCACCGCGGTGCTATCAGCCCAGCCCCTGCAAATATTTCGCACGCCTAATCGGCTCGTAAACTCTCGTAACTTGAAACCGACACTATCGCATTTGCGACAGCATTTTTATGATTTGTACTCTACAATGACAATCCCATTCATTGGCCAAACCAAACGAGCCAAAGCTTTCCCCAAAACTCGTTTTCGACCGGCTTTTCACAAGCACCAATGTATCACTCGTTACCCTCTATTATCTCACAAAATCGCTACGTGAGAGCTAAAATAGCGCTTAGGGTATGCTAGCCAAAACACTGGAAAAAACCTAACTCCATCA